GGTTTCCATGGGGTCAGGGTTTCCCTGGGGACAGGGTTTCCATGGGGACAGGGTTTCCATGGGGTCAGGGTTTCCCTGGCGACAGGGCATCCTTGGGGACCCAGTCCCTTTGGTGAGTTGATTCCCCTGCAGACTGGATTTCCTGACAGATTACTGACCTTGTTTTCCTGTGTATTCGTTTCTATGCAGGTTGCTTGAAGCCACAGGTATTCCCTCACAGTTACATCAATGTTTCCGACTCTCTGACCCTATTCCCTGTGGGATCAGTGTTACGTTATCAATGTTTTCCTGGCTACAAGCTGACAGGACCAGAGCTTTTGGAATGTATGTACAACCTGCTGTGGTCTTCCAGCCCACCACAGTGTCTTGATGTTGAAGGTAGACTCACTTTGTTGGTGTGAATTGCTATTTGACACACTCACCTGCTTCAGCTATCCTGCTTTAGATATTTTAAATCATCCTTTCCCCCCGCATCAGTCCTGAATTCAAACTTCCAGTTAACACTCTTATTACAGAAGAGCTACAGTACAGAAGGAGACCATTTGGCCCATCATACCTGCAGCAGCTCCTCAAATGGACACTGATCAAAAACTCATGGCTGAGTGTACGGTGAGAGTGAGACCAGGATGAATGAATGCTAGCTATCACCATGGGCCAGGTCTGCCCAAGGTGCAGGGCCTGTTGTGTCCCCACCCCCATCGCCAACCTTGCATCTTGATTGATTGAAAGGTATTCCACTCATTCGCTCAACGTGTAGCTGGTTTCTGACCACGGGTACTGCCCACGATAGGGCCAGGTCCACTCTCTTGGCAGTGTCAAGACTCCCTCATGTTCCAGCCAGATCAGCCAGCTTCAGGCTGGTTACAGGGGGGGGGAAAGGAAGGCACACCCCCCCCACCCACACACACACACACACACACACACACAACCCCATCGGTAATGGATCTCTTTCTGGAACTCACGAGTCCAACATTCAGAATAGGACAACACACAGTAAGAGCCTTGTTGCCATCCAGGAAATGATCAAACAACGTTACTGCTGCACAAACTGTTCTGGAAGACTGTGTTCCTTAGCAGCTATCCACGGACTGTGCTGTCTATATCAGGCCCCTTAGCTGTGGCCCAACTGGGGCCAGACCTTACCCCTACACCCCCATCCCGAATGCCGCTAACAGAACTCATTCTGCTGGAAGGTCTCAGAGGCTGTTGTTAGTGTTCCTTACCTCAGCCTCAGTGAGCAGGCCAGCTCGTGAGGTGCACTGTTACTGAGCCTCCACCTCACATGGCCCAGGTACCTGTGATGGGCGAGTCATAGATGTGTAGAGATGTACAGGACGGAAACAGACCCTTCAATCCAACCCATCCATGCTGACCAGATATCCTAAATTAATCTAGCCCCATTTGTCAGCATTTGGCCCATATCCCTCTAAACCCTTCCCATTCATATACCTATCTATATGCCTTTTAAATGTTGTAATTGTGCCAGCCTGCGCCATTTCCTCTGGCAGCTCATTCCATACACGCACCACTCTCTGTGTGAAAAAGTTGCCCCTCAGGTCCCTTTTAAATCTTTCCCCTCTCAACCTTAAACCTATGCCCTCTAGTTTTGGACTCCCCTACCCTGGGGAAAAGACTTTGGCCATTCACCCTATCCATGCCCCTCATGATTTTATAAAACTCTATAAGGTCAACTCTCAGCCTCTGATGCTCCAGGGAAAATAGCCCCAGCCTATTCGGCCTCTTCCTGTACCTCAAACCCTCCAACCCTGGCAACATCCTTGTAAATCTTTTCTGAACCCTTTCAAGTTTCACAACATCCTTCCTATAGCAGGGAGATCAGAAATGCATACAGTATGCCAAAAGTGGTCTAACCAATGTCCTGTACAGCATCAACATGACCTCCCAACTCACGTACTCAATGCACTGACCAATAAAGGCAAGTGTACCAAACACCTACTTCACTATCCTGTCTACCTGCAACTCTACTTTCAAGAAACTATGAACCTGCACTGCAAGATCTCTTTGTTCAGCAACATTCTGCAGGACCTTACCGTTAAGTGTATAAGTCCTGCCCTGATTTCCCTTTCCAAGATACAACACCTCACATTTATCTAACATAAACTCTATCTGCCACTCCTCGGCCCATTGGCCCATCTGATCAAGACCCTGTTGTACTCTGCGATAACCTTCTTCACTGTCCACTAGGCTACCAATTTTAGTGTCATCTGCAAACTTACAAACCATGGCTCCTATGTTCACATCCAATCATTTATATAAATGACAAAAAGCATGGACCCAGTACTGATCCTTATGGCACACCTCTGGTCACAGGCCTCCAGTCTGAAAAACAACCCTCCGCCACCACCCTCTGTCTTCTACCTTCGAGCCTGTTCTGTATCCTTAGTTCTCCCTATATTCCATGTGATCTAACCTTGCTAACCAGTCTACCATGAGGAGCCTAGTTGAACGCCTTACTGAAGTCCATATAGATCACATTCACCACTCTGTCCTATCAATCCTCTTAGTTATTTCTTGAAAAGACTCAGTTAAGTTAGTGAGACACGATTTCCCGCGCACAAAGCCATGTTGACTGTCCCTAATCAGCTCTTGCCTTTCCAAATACATGTAAATCCTGTCCCTCGGGATTCCCTCCAACAACTTGCCCACCACTGACATAAGGCTCACCGGTCTATAGTTCCCTGGCTTTTCCTTACCACGGTTCTTAAATGAGAGCAGAGATCTCTCCAGATCCAGCTGGGCCCCGTGGCACTGAGAGGGAGCTGGCAGAATGGGGGAAGCAGGCATCTGAGACTGGAGAGCTGCCAGTTCTCCTGTGGTGATATGCCTGCTGCCCTGGGATAATGTTTCCACACTCCTGCAGCTCAGCGTGAATAATTGCAGCATTCTGATACCAGAGGGTGGAAGTTTTCATTTCTCTCTCTTTCTCTGTCTGTCTCTCTTCCTGCAGCGTGCCCCCTGCCTCCAATTCCAGATCACGGGGACTACGTCTGCCATCCTTACCCCTGCGACCGCTACATCCATGGCACTGTCCTGGAGTTTTACTGTGATCCTGGCTACTTCCTCACCAACGATTACAAGTACATCACCTGTCAGTATGGAGAGTGGTTTCCCAGCAACCATGTCTTCTGCCAACATGCTGGTGGGTGCTGGGCCGTGGCATGGAAGAGATGGGAATTGGGGGGGAATGGGGCATCCTCTAGGCTGGGAGGTTAGAGAAAAGTGATCCCACCAACTGTATGAAACAAGCTAGGAGGGCAATTGTGTGGAGATTAAAGTTAGGAGCTCGTACAAGAACAGAATATCTTACCTAGGGGCAGGAGTAAGCCCCTGAAGCTTACTCTTCCATTCAATTGATCTGATTATAACGTCAAATCTGTATCCCTGCCTTTCCCTATAATCTGTTACCCCCTGGCCTAACAAGATTCTATCTACCGCAAGAACTGCAGATACTGTAAATCAGGAACAAAAACAGAAGTTGCTGGAAAAGCTCAGCAGGTCTGGCAGCATCTGTGAAGGGAAAAAACAGAGTTAACGTTTCGGAAGGGTCACCGGACCAGAAACGTTAACACTGATTTCTGTTCACAGATGCTGCCAGACCTGCTGAGCTTTTCTAGCAACTTTGTTTTTGTTCAAGATTCTATCTACTTCTGCCTCAAAAATATTCAAGCACTCTGCTTCCAATATCTTCTCAGGAAAAGAGTTCCAAAGACACATGAACCTCCGAGAGAAAGAGAGTTGCCTTTTCTCTGTTTTAAATGAGTGATCCTTTGTCTTTTTTTAAAACCAGTGACTTCTTGTTCCACAGACAGTAGGAACTGCAGATGCTGAAGAATCTGAGATAACAAGATGCAGAGCTGGATGAACACAGCAGGCCAAGCAGCATCAGAGGAGCAGGAAAGCTGATGTTTCGGGCCTAGACCCTTCTTCAGAAATGGGGGAGGGGAAGGGGGTTCTGAAATAAATAGGGAGAGAGGGGGAGGCGGATAGAAGATGGATAGAGGAGAAGATAGGTGGAGAGGAAACAAACAGGTCAAATAGGCAGGGATGGAGCCAGTAAAGATGAGTGTAGGTGGGGAGGTAGGGAGGGATAGGTCAGTCCAGGTAGGACAGACAGGTCAAGGGGGCGGGATGAGGTTAGTAGGTAGGAGATGGGGGTGTGGCTTGGGGTGGGAGGAAGGACAGGTTAGGGAGGCGGGGACGAGCTGGCCTGGTTTTGGGATGCGGTAGGGGGAGGGGAGATTTTGAAGCTTGTGAAGTCCACATTGATACCATTGGGCTGCAGGGTTCCCAAGCAAAATATGAGTTGCTGTTCCTGCAACCTTCGGGTGGCATCATTGTGGCACTGGAGGAGGCCCAGGATGGACATGTCGTCAGAGGAATGGGAGGGGGAGTTGAAATGGTTCGCAACTGGGAGGTGCAGTTGTTTAGTGCGAACTGAGCGTAGGTGTTCTGCAAAGCGGTCCTCAAGCCTCCGCTTGGTTTCCCTGATGTAGAGGAGCCACAACGGTCCGGAACTCATCCCTCACACCCCCTCCCCGCAATAACAACCAAAACAGAATCCCCCTCGTCCTCATGTACCACCCCACCAACCTCCGGATCCAACGCATCATCCTCCGACACTTCCACCATCTGCAATCCGACCCCACCACCAAAGACATTTTTCCCTCCCCACCCTTATCTGCTTTCCGGAGGGACCACTCTCTCCGTGACTCCCTTGTCCGCTCCACACTCCCCTCCAGCCCCACCTCAGCCGGCACTTGTCCCTGCAACCGCAGGAAGTGCTACACCTGCCCCTACACCTCCCCCCTCACCCCCCCCCCCC